GCTTCCTGACAATTATACGTACATCGACTTCAAGTTAACTCGCTGGATATCAAGGAGACTCTGAATTAGTAAGATGATTTTAGGTTATTTGCAAGTTAGTGAAATTTCTGTGTATGAAACTTTGTAATAATTAATCATAATAGTTACTATTGTAAATTATACTGTTGTGTATATATATATATATATATATTAAAACGTATTTATGTGAAAAACGAAGATGGTGTGTGAATCTTGTTGGCAGATAGCGTAAATTAAATAAAATATTTGCTTTGGATTATCGCAAATTCTCAGTACGTAACAATATAAGCAAACGCTTCCTTGGCTTTAACATCAAGTCTGTTTTATCATCTGAAGAACCATATCCAGGTTTTCAGGAGCAGATTGAAAATATCATCAACATAGATCAGGCATCTCTCCCATTACAGCCCTGTTGTATAAACTCCATCAGCCACTCAAAAGTAACAGGCATGTTACATAAGCTGAATTGCATGACATGCTCATTGTACAGATAACCTGGAGTGCTGACCTGCTTTGTGCTTGACTTGCCAGAATCTGGAAACCAGAATGACAGCACTGAACCAATAGCATCTTCCAGTGCAACCAGATAGTTATCTCAATGTTAGTGGAAAGACATCAACTCAGGACACCATGTTCACCTATCCAAGTTCAGCGCAGAACCTTTATGTACTTTCCTTCATCCTGGCAATTATTATTGTAGATAACTAATCATCATTTAAGGGTATATGATATCATCCTTCAGCATCAGTTGTATCTCAGTAATGGGTATATCCTTAGTGCTCCAGAGTAGTTGTTTTATTGAACATGTGTCACCTATATCCATGTGGTAGTGGATTACTGTTGTTTTACCAAAATTGCATCTGGTCTCTTGAAAATGTTGGCATATTTAACCAGCATTGCACATAGTTTCTGCACATATGCATAATTTACCAATGCATATATCCTTATCATTTGCAGACACTATTGTCAAATATGCTTTCCTATATAGATGTACACCAGAGGTATCTTCAGTCTCCATTGGCTGGCCATGGATGGTATTGGCGAGTGTTGGAGGCAGGCTATCCTAACAGTGATAATCTGGGTGTCCTATAGAGACAATTTGATTCAATCTTAGGACCACCTATCTGCAGGTAACTATGGTCTAAACTCAGGGGTAGAACCTTGTCAGAACACTGAAGGTCCAAGGCTGCAATTCCTCTTCCTGACTCTCTGGCTAGGTTGAGGTCATTGGCATGGTCCTTTGCATCAGTAGTAAAAGACTGATGTTCAGGAAAGGACTTTTCCTACACCTTACCACTCTCTTAGATCTTGATCTGCTCGTAATGTCAAACTCCTCTTATTCATAAGGTATTCAAATGGTGGAAAATGCCATTTCTGATAGTACAGAATGTGAATTATGTGTAAGAGTTGAGATGAAGATAGAAAAGTACAACTTAAACAAAATCGTAAACTTCAACACAAATTCTTGTGTTTCTATATATTAAGTTCTATACAAATGACAGAATATATGTATATATGAAACACTTTGAGAATTGTCAATGAACTTGAAATGTTTACTTGTATAAATTCACTAAAAAATAAAGGAAATGCCTGGTATGTTACATATATAATATTAATCTTATGGATTGTTTTTATTTGGACAAATTAAACAGGAAATTTAATAAAACTACTTGAAATGCCGAAAACAATTATATATAAACCTTTATAGCATCATTTTTTTCTTGTACTCTGCCAACTGCAATTGATTACTTTACATATAACACAAATAATTTCTGTAAGCCTAAGAATTCCCATGATTTTATAATTATTTAGTTTTTTTTAGATTAAGATTACACCAGTGTTGTGATGTTAGTTTTTGTGGTCTTCATTCAACAGTTTTGCCAACAGTAAACACTGCTAGTAATCCATTATACATAGTTATAATTCCTTGAACTAAGTAGGAGTTGAAATTTAATTTTTCCATTGATTTGGAAAAAAGTAGAAACACCATAACTATCATAGCAAAGGTTTTGATTGGTTTAATTGCTTTAAAAATATGTATACCTCAAGACAATAATGTTATGTGTGAGAAAAAAATTAATATTAAAATCATAAAAAGCATGTGAAAAGTAAAATATTACAAGTATAAATATATTTAAGGCAAAGAAAATTATCAAAAATTTTTATATAATGCAATGAACCAGTTATGAAAGAAATGATAATCAAATAATAAACATTTAGATTCTTCAATTTAATGATAAACTTGTGTGAATTCAATTGTTTTTGGAATATTTATTTTCAGAGGCTATGGTTGTAATGACCACTTTTATGAAAGTGATACTTTGCTTCACTCTTGGGAAGTTCTTGCAGAACTGTTAAAGAATCCGGCTTGCAATGACATTATTGTGGATGTAGGCATGTAAGTTTTCTTTTATTATTATAACATCATTGTAAATTTTAAGATTGAGGTACTTTTAGACCTGGTAGTTTAATCTATAAAAAGATCATTCTAGATTGAGGTGTTTATGTAAAGTATTTATGAAATTACCATTTTGTGAATATGGGCATCTTAATCATAGTATTACTTCAACATCAAATGCTGAAAACTGATAGCATGTTATAGGTTATTTTGTTAAATTAACACCTGCCACATGAGCCTGCTGTCCAGCATCTTTTAGTACAGAGCCTAGTATAGAAAACTAGAGGGTCATTCCAGAAACCAGAGATTTATGGTTATTTTGATAGATCTCGATGAATGAAGTTCAGCACAACTAAATATTAATAAAAATATGACATGACAGAATTTTTATGGATTAAACTATGGTGGTATGGTGGCACCTTACTGGACATTATACCATCATCATTATATTTACTCTTCATTGCAGAAATGGCACTTTTAATTTGAGAATTGTTAGGGAAGTCATTTAATAATACACCATCCACTTGCTTCAACTTCAACACTACATTTTTGAGCTTTAATGTGCTATTAGTTTCACAAAATATTAAAACCAATGATTTCTTACATATGATTCCAATCCCCCTTTTGGAAGGTAACAATACTATTGTGCCCATTATTTTATGTTTCATTGTCAATGCAATAATCAGTTGACAGATCTGCATTTCAGCTGGTATGTCGAATCAATTGGGCTGTCTTCAAAAAAGTTCTTCCATCATCTGACCTGGACCATGGTTTAACTTAATCACTACCCTTAAACTGTCACATTCACAACCATATCCAGAACATTTCATGTATGTTTCATTGATAGATCATTTTACTTTACATTTACAAGATACATTCTCCATGTTGGCTCTCATGGTCTTGGTTCAGGTCATGGGTCCAGTCACAGTCGAGTCCAGCAACCTAGACATCGAAAATTGTGCCAAACATCTTTTTTTGTCTAATCAAAACAACCTAAACCTATCTGGAATGACTCATTTTTTTATCACATCAAGATGTTCTCATTACTGCTGTTTGTAAGAGACTCTGTAAGTAAGGATTCTGTCATGCCATAGACTGAAGTAATATACAATATCTGCCTTGAAAAGCTGGTTTGTCACTAACAAAAACAAAAAATTTTATTTTCAATTATTATCTGTGCAAGTACACAATGTACATCTAATATTATTATATACATTTGATTTAAATATTGTTTTATAGAATGCAACATTAAATGATGTACACTGATTTTTCACAGGCCTGTGATGCATAAGAACGTGACCTATAACTGTCGGGTTGTGTTTCTAAATAGGTAGGTCAGAAAATTAATTTTTATACTTACATTGCATATTTGTTGTAAATTCTGAAGATGGGTGAAATTAAAATTTCTTTTGATGTCATTTTTGAAGATGATAAAGTGTATATGTGAAAGTTTCTCAGTATGGATTAATAAAAGTTCATTATCTTTCTTACATTTGCTTCATCTTATTTTCAAGCAATCTCTTTAATTAATGGTGTAAAGCATTAATAACAAGACTATTACATACATATTTCAGTTTCTCCTGTTTTAGGAAAATTGTAATTTTAAAAATTATAAATGAGTTTTATTTTTCAGTTTTTTTTTATCTCTGATGAACAGAAACTGAAGTGATATGATTTGGTTATGTTTTATGCACAACATTATGAAAAAAATTGTACATATCCAGGATATTCTTTATAGTAGTATGGGAACCATTTCTAAACACCAAAACAAGGCACAACATATTTTAAGTAGTGTGATATTGTATTAACATGTTAAAAAAGCTAGAACAATTGACAGAACGTTGTTCTGATTTCCAGCTTATTATCAGTTTTGTTTTGTATACCTTGTTGTAAAGTATATTGTGATACATGTAACTGGATTTCTTATAATACCAGTATCAGCTCAAATACATGACATTATTTAGTCTTCATCAAAAATATTTTTACTTTTGAACAAAATAGCCAAATTCTTCTTATCCGTCCCAAAATGATTCTCTGTGATGATGGAAACTATAGGGAAACTCGTTGGTTTAGTGCTTGGCCCAAACATCGCCACTTAGAAGATCATTTCCTTCCTCGAATGATCCAAGAAATTACTAAACAGGTAATGTGTTACAGCAAAATTGTGTAAAATTATGTATCACTATATTCTTTTGTAATATTGCATCAGCTTTTGTAAATACATTTTTTCTAAACTTAAATAAAAATTATATCAATATAGTAATCAATCCCACCAGTTACTGTTGAGGTCTTCAATGTTTGTAATGTAGAAAATGAGTTATTTCAGTAAATTTTTATAGTCATTTAATACACTGATAGTTGTAATAGGTAGTAAATTTCCAGTATGATGCAGTATGTGGACCCCATTGTTGTTGAACAGTAGAAAAACAAAGATTAGTTTGAGGGTTAAAATAGAATATAAAAAAAATCTTCAAGGTTGAGTTTATCTGTACACAAGAGAATGCAGTGACTGTTGTTCTAGTTTCTCCCCACTGAAGCTGAGAAGTGACACAGAACAGCATATAAACCTAGGAATACTGACTTATAGGTATTGTGATCTGTTTATTTTTCATTTATTTTAAGTCTAGTTTGTCCTTTTTTTGCTTCCATCATAAATATTGCCCCCCAGTGGCACAGCGGTATGTCTGCGGACTTACAATGCTAGAAACCAGGTTTCGATACTCGTGGTGGGCAGAGCACAGATAGCCCATTGTGTAGCTTTGTGCTTAATTAAAAACAAACAATCATCATAAATATTCTCAAGGTCAAAATTAGTAAATTTGTGAACCTAATTTTCTTGGAGTAACTAAAGAATACTATGGCAACAATTAAAAATCAGTGATATGTGTCATTTTTCAACAAAGCTAAGGGTACAAGTTGTAATGTGCATCATAATCTTAAATATTATGTATCATATTCATGGTATACTTAAAACTAATACTACATTTTAAGTGTCTGCTTATACAGAATGTTTTTAAATAATGATTTTGTTTTGATAAATGATGGTCTAATATGCAACTATTGGTTGAAGATTTTGAAATTTCAAATCAAATTTTAAAGAAAGTTGCATATGTGATCATTTTGGACATGTGTGGGTGTTTTCAACATATGACAGAATGAAAAATAGGTTTTGAACTTCTCTTTGTAAAATCACTTTAATAATGGCAGTTACTTGCTTGTTTTGCAGCATTAAGTATGAAGAACTTAATATACATGCCTAGCATCAAAATTTTTAATATGAATTTTCTACTATGGAAAAGAGGCATCTAGATTTCAGATGAAAATTAAGTGTTTATTTTTTATATGAAATAGAATAAATGTTGCATGCTTAAGTGGTAATGGTAACTGATGAATAAGAATTCTGTTTTAAAGGCTTGGTTGTTATATACATTTTATTATTTTTATTGTTTGTCTGTATAGCTTTTAATTTAAGCAAATCTCATGAAGTAAAAGTGTATACTAGAAGAAAAAGATTGGAGTTATATAGCTGTTACATTGGAAAATAAGTAGCCATATGACTGTTATCTGACACGAAACAAGTAGATGTGGTTACATATAATGAGAAATAATTAAGTAATAGGGTTGTTAGAACAAGTAGACTTATGACTTGTTAGGTAACAAAAAATTAGACATATGGCTGTTATGTGATGAGAAACCATTAGAAATACATTTTTTTACAACACAGAGGGAAAGAAATGATTTACATATCAGGAGAAACGTTGATTTAAAATTCTTTTTAGAGCTGTTACCCTAAATAATCTATAAAAGTGAAACATTAGTAATTAAACTTTTTTTCTGGAGAGTGGTGATTGTTATATATATATTTTTTTTACATTTAATTTGATAAATGTAGGCACAAAATTACAGACATATTTTATAACACATTTGTTAAACTATGATAGTATTATCTTGTCTATTTGCACTTATAGTTGTTTAAGATTATTTTAAAGATTGTCTCATGTTACTTTTGTGCATCTATAATTAATAACTTGCTCACACTAAACTTTCACAATTTTTAATGTATTTTTTATGCTTCTCCATGAGTTGTTTTTAAATTGGCATGTTTTTAACACGTCTTAACACTCAATTAGTTGAATATTAGAAGTATGTTCAATCTGGAAACTCCCAAAGAGGATGGTTTGGATGTATCTTTTCAAGACAACTTCAAGAAAAGTTTTTGTTTGTTAATTGATTAATTTTTTAGTGAAATGCAGCATTCCCAAGTCTTCATACTAGCTAATACTAAGGTATACACACTGGGAGTAAATTCAATATATATATCAATAAAGCCACATTCTCAGCATCATTAATTAAGCAAATGCCAACCTTTTATGCTTCTGCTATCACCTTGTTATGTTTAGCTTTCAATTGAGATGCAAACAATTTCATCTGAGATTTGGTATGGAAGGTCAAAGCATCATTATAGTCAGCAGTAGGATGAGCAGACAGGAACACTTTAAAAGCAGCTACAGGCATAATATTGTACTCAGCTTGCTGCACAATATCTACCAAGGTGATTTTAAATGGTTCCTGAATACTTCTGCATGTCATTTTTAGACTTCTGTGTTTCTTGTGCTTGGTTGTTAAGCTCGTGATGTGTTAATGGATTTCAGTCACCTTACAACTTCAAATCAATTGTGGGAAATGCCTTCTTTTTAACCGATAATAATGTCCAAAAAATTTCAGTTCAAATTAAGAAAAACTGGATTGGGTAGTTGTTGTTTTATTAAATAAAAATGTCTCCCACTGGCTTGTGAAGGGCCTGTTAAAATCTTTTCTAACTTATTTGCTAAACCCCTTTAGCTATATGGTCAATTGGAAATAAAAGCTAATCAGTGTAATTGTTTTAATATTTGTAATTTTTGAGTTTTACAAACGTGTGATAAGAAAATAATATTCTATATTACTGTCTAATGTCAATATTTCAACTGAAGCTTGTGTAACTGATTATATTGTAAAGTGTATTCCTCTCATTAGACACCATACACAATTTAAAGTAAAATAGTAACATATAGCCTTGAATTACTTCTTGCTGTTGGTCAAATAACTAATGTTGGTCAGTAATTACAACACATACACTTCTTTACTGTACTACTAACTCTGCGTCAGTAACTTATCACTGTTAAACTCGTGGCTAGCATTTTTCTTAACATCTCTGTTGTAGCTTCATTTTTTTATAACTCTTAACTCGTGATTCTCAATACCACTTAACCCGATGATTATC